GCGCCGCGCAGCAGAGATGGCGCGTTGGAGGCGCATAGCCGCGCGCGGCACACCTCGGCCGCGAGCGCGGGGACGGTCTCCCGAAGCGCCTCGCGCGAGACCTCCGCGCGGCCGCGGCCGACGTCTGCTGCCGTCGCCACCGCGTGGTGCGCGAGCGAGTCGGCGGTCACGTCTGCCGGGTCGACGAGGCGCAGGCAGCCGACGCCGCAGCGGCCAAGCAGCGCCGCCGCCTGGCTGCCCGAGGCGCCGAGCCCGACGATGACGACGAGCGAGCGGCTCAGCGCGCCCTGCGACTCATCGCCAAGAAAGGACCAGTTGCGCGAGAGCTGCTCTCCGAGCAGGTCGGCTGGCTCGCGACGGAGCGCAGCCTCGCGCTGCGCGAGCAGCTCCGCCTTGCCAGCAGCCTTGACGGGAGGCTGTGCTAGGGTGGCGGCCACTGCTGCTGCCGCTGCCGCCGCCGCCACGGCCACCGCCGTGGCCACGCCCAGCGGCACTGCTTGAGTCAGCCGCGGAGATGGGCGAACCGCGGCGGCGGCGGCGGCGGCGGCGGCGGCGGCGGCGGCGGCGGCGGCGCGAGTGGACTCGGCGACGGTGGCAAGCGAGGCCGCGATCATATGTTTATGTGGAAAAATATATTCTTCACGCGTTTTTCCTTTTTTGAGCCGCCTTCGGAAACAGCGCGAGCCGGCCATTCCATTATTCTCGCCTAGCTCCGCGGACGGGCCCCTCCACCCTTCACGTGCGGATCATGTAGTCCCCACAATCGCTGTCGTGGGATCGCTTGTCATGTGAGAGCGGGCTTGTGTTCTTGGTTCATATGCTCTTTCTCATACGGTTCGTATGCTCTTTCTCATGCGTGCCGCCCCGCATGCCGCGGCTCAGCTTCAGGTGAGTTCATCTTGCCGGCGGTACCCGACGCTGCTCGAACGGCAGTTGTCGACCGCCGGCAGTTGACCGGCAACGCGGCAAGATGATGTGTGTGTGTGTGTGTGTGTGTGTGTGTGTGTGTGTGTGTGTGTGTGTGTGTGTGTGTGTGTGTGTGTGTGTGTGTGTGTGTGTGTGTGTGTGTGTGTGTTGGAAAAAGAAAGAAAGAAAGATAACAGACAAAAATCAGGAATCAGGAATCGGAATCCCGGTCCAAAATGTGGGCGAGCCGACAAATCAGGAATCAGGAATCAGGAATCAGGGAAAGGAATCGGAATCCCGGTCCAAAATGTGGGCGAGCCGACAAATCAGGAAGCAGGAATCAGGAACCAAATGGAGCATCAAGAATAGGAAGAGAGAGGAGAATCGGGAGGGGGGAGCAGAATCAGGAATTGGCTCTGTGGCTGCCCCACCCAGAAAGAAGAATCGGAAAGGAAGCGGGAGGAAACGAGAATGGAGAATCAGGAAGCTGTACGTCGTGTGCGTGTCTGGTGTTTATGTATGTAAAGAGTGGAAGCAGTCGAGAGGACAGGGGAGGGACGCGGCCAGAAAGAGGGCGGGCGCCGAGGTTCGAAAGCCGGCGCTTTCGCGCGTTCGAAGGGGCTTTGCACGGAGTTCGTGCGAAATTTGCGGTTGGCCTTCGCGCTGCGGCGAGATGGCACCGCAGGCGGCGTGCGTGCACGAGGGCGGCGGCGTCGAGCGCCGAGCAGCACACCACGAGCGCGAGCGGCAGCGCCGACAACGCGAGGCAGCGGGCGGCTCGACCGAGCCGGCGGCGGAGGAGGCGACGGACGTCGAGGCGGTGAGCGCCGCGGACGTGCTGGCCGGCGTGGAGGAGAGCGGCCCGAACTACGCCCTTCCGACGGCGAGAGAGGGCCAGAGGGAGCGGCGGGAGCGGCTGCGGGTGGACGAGACGGCGAAGCAGGCGGGGCACACCATCGTGGAGACGGGAACGCACGTCGAGATCCTGGGCGAGCAGGGCTTGTGGTGGCCGGCCACCATCGCGGGGCGGGAGGAGGACGTGGACGGCCGGCTCGTGCACGAGGTCGAATACGACGGCCACCAGGGCGAGCAGTACTGGCACATGCTTGATTAGCTCCGAGTAGAGGGGGCGCTCCGCTGCTAGGGGAAACCTGGAGCGCGGACTAACCCTCGGAGACCCGTGTTTACTTTACGGCCCTTTCCCTGCGAACGCGCACCCCCGGGGCTAGGGCTCTCTGGCCCGCAACCTGATGCCAATCATCCGGCCCGCTGGGTGCGCTTCTAGCTCCCTGGCCCTGGATGTGCGGTTAATGACTGCACTCCAAGTGCTCCAAGTGCTGAAAGCGGGGCCAAGATGGGAGAGTCTGGGAAGAGAATCAGAATATCTGAGCAGAAGAGGAACCTGGGAAGGGGAATCTGGTGAGAGGTACAATAGCAAGAATCCTTGTTTAGTAGAGCAGAATAGGAAAGGCAGAATCCTTAGGCGCGGACAGACTTCTCCATTACGCCGAGTCTGAGCGAGGGATTCGCTATGGTATGTTACTTGGAGCCTTCGTACAGGCTCGACACAGGTGCTGACAGGCGCGTGCTAGCACTAAAAAAGAATTTTACGAGCGGCCGCGAGTATCAGGTGGTCGCTACAGCCACCCCACCCCGGCGATGGCGACGCGGGCCGGCGGCGGCTCGGGCGCACGCACACAGACGGTCCGCGCGCCGCGCGAGGGCTGCGGCTGCAAGCCCAATAGCGAGTGTCTTTGCTGCGCCACCGGCCGGTGCCCCTGCCGCCAGAAGAATGCAAAGTGTGGCCCCGAGTGCAGCTGCGGCGGCATGAGCGGAGAGCGGGCGCCCATGTGCACGGGGCACGGCGCGCCGGCGGAGCGGCAGACGGTGAAGAAGGAGGGGCCCAACAAGGGGCGCCAGTTCTTCGCCTGCCCGCGCAAGCGAGACGAGCGATGCGACTTCTTCGCGTGGTGCGCTCCCAACGCAGGCTGCTGCGCCAACCCGCTCAACGCGGTCGATGGTGTCATCGACCTGGACGGGCCGGGCGGGGGCGTTCCTGATCCGCCCCCCGCCCGCGGCGGCGCCGGCCGTGGCGGCGCCGGCCGCGGGCGCGGGAGCGGCGGCGGCGGTGGCGGCCGCGGGCGGAAGCGCAAAGTCTGCGAGCTGGGGAGCGCCTGCCCTTTTCAGCACGAGCACCAGCACACCGCAGAGTACTCGCACCCGTCCGATGAGCCTGCGGCGCCGCAGTTGCAGCCCTTTGGGGGTGCCGGCGTTACTCTCGGAGGTGGTGGAGGAGGAGGAGGAGGAGGCGGAGGGAGGGGGAGGGGCAGAGGCAGGGGCGGCGGCGCCTCGAGTTCCGGAGATGGCATCGCACTCGGGCGCGCGCAGGGTGCCGGTGGCGGCGGCAGCAGCGAGGGCGAGCAGTGCGAGATCTGCGGCCGCATTGTGCCGTTTGCCGCCGCGGAGATGCACAGGGCTCAGCACGAGCGGAAAGGCGAGGTTGCGGCGCATCGCGAGAGGCAGGCGCGTGAGGCTGAGCGGCGGGAGATGGACGCGCAGTACGAGGAGAGCCTGCGGCAGGACCAGGAGCGCGAGGCGGCGGAATTGGCGGCGGCGGCGGCAGCGCGCCAGGCTGCGCGCGCCGAGGAGGGGGAGAGGCGGCGACGCGAGGAGGCTGCAGCGGCGGCGGCGGAGAGGCGCGCGAGGGAGCGCGAGGCGCTGGAGCCGGAGCCGCAGCCGGGCACGCCGGGCGTGGCGACCATCTGTGTCGTGCTGCCGAACGGAACACGCATGACGCGTCGCTTCCGCGCCGACTCGCCGATGTGGGCGGTCTTTGCGTGGCTGCGCTCCCTCGAGGAGCTCGCGCCCTTCCGCGCGTGGGAGCCGGTCGCGCCGGCCGGCCACGCCGTGGACGGGCCTCTCTACGAGAGTGGCGAGACGCTGGAGGAGCTCAAGCTGGCTCCGAGCGCGCTGCTGCGGCTGCGCGTCGAGGAGGAGGAGGAGTGAGGAGGAGCGAGGAGGAGGTGGTGGTGGAGTGCAGAGGCCTCGTTGTACGGCGCGGCTAGCCCGCTGCTGGTACCATGCATGTACGCATCCCATGGACCCATCCATCGACGTTAGTGTGCTCGCGCGCCTTGGGTCAGGTCGCCAAGAAACGCGCACGCCCCTGTCCTGCCAAGCCCAAGAGGCGTGTGCGGCGCGCTCGCAGCCGGTGCGCAACTGAGTCTCAGTGTACACACTGATCACTGTGCATCACTGCGCTCGAGTCACAAACTGCGTCTGTCTGGGTGCGCCACGCCACACCTGCAGCTGCACCTCTCGGGCCTGCACGATGCTGCTGCAACCTGCGTGTGAGGCTTTCGTGTGCCCCCCTGGCACAATCCACAAAACGGTTTTGAGGAAAACGAGTTCCGCCTCGCTGAGCTCTGACCTCTGTTCCAATACACGTAAAAATCTCTGCGGAGCCCGCGATCACACAGTGTCACACAGCGCCGCGCGCCGAAAGGGGAGACTGGACGGGACGCGAGATGAGAGACCCCGGAGAGCGAGTGGCGCAGGCGCGAGGGGCCGGGCAGCGTTCGCGCTGACCCCGGACACACCTGCGCCCACACAGCGGAGGAGTCACAGGACACAACCGTCACAGCGCACACGACTACGTTAGACGCTCTGGAGCGCGCGAGCCGTCTAGAAAGGCACGACGCTCCGCTCCTCCTCACTTGCCCATAAGGTTGGCGAACGGGTCGGGCGCCGGCGCGGCAGCCGGCGGCTCCGGCGCCGCCATCGACATGCCTATGGGAGAGGCTCCAAGGAGGTTGAAGGGAGGCTCCAGACGGTGCTCCGCTGCAGGGAGGGCGGCTCGCCACCGCCCATGCCGCCCCCCATGGGCACGCTGCCCATTCCTCCCATGGGCTGGCCCATCCCGCCGCCCATCCCTCCCATGGGCGCCATGCCACCCATCGGGCGCATGCCACCCATGCCGCCCATGCCGCCCATCGGGGCGCCCGGCTGCATC